GTAGTAGTAGTAGTAGTAGTAGTAGTAGTAGTAGTAGTAGTAGTAGTTGGGGCCATAGGTCAGGCAATCTATGAGAACAATAAAGATATGTATACAACTGTTTATATGTATAAAATATACTATCTATACATTGAATCCAAAAACAACCACCGAAACAACACTCCAAAGACAGCTTGGCCCCTCCATAAAGCTCGGCATCCCGGCCATTCTCGAGCTTGGAGAACTCGAACTTGGGCGCCACCAGCGCCGGTGCCGGAGGGTCCAGCAGGATGCTCCGATCCTCGGATTAATGGACGACGGGTGGACGGGTGGACGATGGGTGGACGACGGGTGGACGACGGGTGGTGAGGGGGGAAGTGTTCATGGTGACCCAACGAAATCTAAAACGGCTCAGATGCAATCCAACAACATCCAACAACTCTTCTGAAATCCCACCCTCTTTTTCTTCTTTATCCGGGTTGGAAAAAGAAGGTACTGCGGCACTTGCATGCATGTACCGATGTGCGACCCCTCGGCTCCGAACCCGGGCGGTCATTCTTACCACACATCCAATTCATATCAATTGCAGTGGCCACTGGGAGAACTGACAGTGGCTGGGAGAATTCAGTTGATGCGACTGCTCTTGTTCTGGTTCATCAACCACTTTCAACCCAAGTCTAAGATATCCAAGTCTCCAGTGTCGTGCCTGGCGGCTGCTTTTCGGCCGGGTGAGCCGTCGAGGGGTGAGACCGGACCCAAAGGGCTTCGAACAGGCTAAAATGGTCGTACAAGGATAGGTGGTCTACATGCATGTAGACTCTTGAAGACCATAAACCCCCCATGTGAATTGAAAAACCTCTGTACATGGGGGGGGTTATTCATCAAGAGTCTACATCTGTTGCAAAGACCCAAAGATCTCCAAGATTTGCACCAATATCGTGCAGAGCGACGTTGATCGGTCAGTGCCCTTGCAGCCCAAGTGGGCTTGGCTTGATCCGAGCGTTTCCAACCCCGGGGGGGTTGGAGACCCCCCACATAGTTACATAGATAGAAACGATCGGGCAACTGCTTCCACTACCTGGGGAAGTCCATGCGAGTCCATCCAATGTTGGGAAGTTCACCCAGTGGCGGTCCATTTTACAAGGGCAGCAAGGGCAAGGTGGTGCCGTTCAGAGCTATATAGAGTATATAGAGCTATGCTCAAGTATCAGGATGTTCAGCCACAGCAACCGAGTGTTGGCCCTTCACCACAATGACATGACAAGGAAACATCAATAATCACTGGTTTCCTTGCGCCCCACGGATCCCGGACTTCAATCAACAGCCGACTTCCGATATATGCAGAACACACGGTCTACACGCAAATCGCTTGACTTCCCTGACGGTCCCTGGGCCAGACACAATCGACTCTCCCCATGAAAGCTCCATGACTGGTTCAATAGCTTTGCAGTTCGAGGTTCAAACTTACAACCCACGACCGGTTCCTCAAAACCTAGGGATTTGACACCCCAAACACCTCCATGAGTCAATGAGGGTTTGGGAAGGACTCTCATGCTGAAAAAACGCCTTTCGGATGACACGTTTTAAGCACGAAAAAGGATGGCTCGAACTGAAATCTTTCGTGTCGAACAGGTATTTGAGATTCGCCGAAGTCATCAGAAGCTGAACGCCGCGGGAAATGGCCGCGCCTTGGTATGGGTTAGGAACCGGTTCCTTGAACTCATAGAAGTTGTAATCTGGCAACTCCATCATGACCTGCGCCATTCGGGGCGCTGATGGAGATGCTACGCGGCCGCGAGGCCCGTGAATTCTCTTGCGGCCGCTACCAACCGCCGATCCGCGTGACCGTGCCGATCCGGAGGGGCTCGGACGAAGGCGGTTCCGCCTCCCGGGAGCGACACCAACGAGGCCAGGCTGCCAGGCTGAGCGCCGTTGGGGCGATTGGTTTGAAGACGGGTTTGACAAAACCATCGAACATTCTCTAAACTGGCAGAGTCAACCAGTGACCGAAACACCGGTGAAGTGGTCCGGACCATTCCCGGTCTCCGGGCCAGTCATTTCAACAGACCGCGTTCGACAGACGGTCGCCAAGGAAGTGATGGAAATCGCCTCCTGAAACACGTCGACGCAGCGTCGACGCAGCGAACGCCACCGCAGCACCGCCGCACCAAACGTCGACGTCCTCTCCGTATCCATGCCTTCTCCACATCTTCTTTCACGAACTTCACCTGCGAGGTTGGTCCCACGAGCAGGTGTTGAAGCCGACCTTTGGGAGATTTTAGGAGCTTCAAGAGCTTTAAAATGGCCGTCTGCCATGTCTGAGACCAGCAGCGCTGTTTGGGCTGTTCGTCTGTGTTCGTAGCGCTGTTTGGGGCTGTTTGGGGGTTTTCCATCACGTCCATCAAACCAAAGAAAGCCGGTCACCGTCTTCAAACTCTAGAATTTCGTTGGGAGCTTGAGTGGCAATTGCTGGGAAAACCCTGTGTTCAACTTGGGTGAAGAGTTTCAGCTATATAGCTATGCTTCGAAGCCCTTTTTCTTTCGTGCAAAGAAACAGTCTCCCACAGTCTCCATCCACTCTCTGGAACCATGGAAGTAGAAAACGATCTGTTTGTTCCAAGGAGCTGTTAGTTCCACTTCCATGTTAGTTCCAGGGAGTGTAATACTGGAAGGAACTCTTGCATCCACCTATAGTGGGGTCATGTGGGGTCATGCTACTCAGCTGCTACTCCTTTCTTTAACCAGTTCGCACCTGATTGGCTTCCTCCGCATCCAAACCGTTCCCCCCCCAACCCGTTCCGCAGAAGAAAAGACTCTGAGAACATGTGACGCATGACATCACCATGACGCGACGTCCTGTCTCAAAGGACACGAATGGAAGGACTCCTTAGAGATGGGGCGGTCCTTGCGGAGTTGTGGAGGACTGGATGGTTCGTGAGTTGTGTTCATTCCAGGTGATTCCCATCTAATCGCGAGTCTCTTCAGACCCCTTTTGAAGCCTTTTCGGGCAATCCAAGAAAATGGATGGACCCCGTGGCTGTTTTTGTTTCACCGCGCAGCCGGGCACGGCCCTCTGCAACTTTGGCAGATGTTCAGCCGTCCGACAAGTCGGAAATCGGTAGGGAGCGATGTCCAGGTTGGTGACGGAGGGCGAGTCTCGGCCTGGGCGTTTCCATGACAATGTCACAGTCCAAGTGCTGCAGCGAAAAGCACCAGCTATGGATTCCAAAAGCATGAGACATGCCATAATACTAAGATCTTTAAGATCAACCCTGGCCGTAAATAGCACCAAGCAGGCCTCAAAAGGCCACCTGTTGCGTATGGTCAAGTGATCAAGGCTTCAAGAGGCCACCTGTCCTGCTCCGAAGATCACCCCAAAGGCTCTCTTGCAAAGGCCCTCAGGCCCAGGCAGACGACAGGGCAAAGCAGCTACCTTGGCAAAAAGGCTGGACGAGGCGTCAAACTGGCATATTTCATATGAATTGAGGACCCCAGAACTTCCAGTGACGCAAACCTTGAACCCACCTGCTTCAGTCAACATCTTCGGCGAACCTCTTCGGGGTCGCGTCGTCTTCTTCGTCGGGCTCATTGGGTTTCGGCCAAGGTGCGAAAGGCCGTCGGTTTCAGAACAACCCATCGTCACACCTGGTATAAAACGACCGCAACGAATGCAGCTGTGACAGCTGTGTACTACACCTTGTGCACAAGCGGAAGGCCTCCAATTCGTTTTGGAGGACCCCAAATATGACGCGATGCCCGATGCCCCAAACAGGTGTTTCAATTTGAATTCATTTGATTAATTTTATCTATCTATCTGTGAGGAGAATACTTTTCCTTGGACATCTCAACAGGTGTTCTTCTTCTACGGATGACGTCAAAACACACACCTGTTCAGTCAGATCCCCCTTAGATCCCTCTGTTTTCCCTGCAGTTCTGGGGGGTCGCTCTGGAACACCACCGTGGATGGCTTGGAGTCAAACATTCGGGCACAGCATCAATCAACATTGAATGAGCATATGGAGAACACTCTTTAGGCAATGTTGAATTCATTTGGATGGAAAGAAACATCCAAATCTATCCAAATCTATTGAAGTTGAATTCCTTTTCAAGACAAGCACCAACTTACTCCGCCTACTCCATGCATCTTCCAGGAAACCCGCCCTGCTCAAAGCGCCCTGCATCACCTCCCGCTTTCCGCGCGGTAACCGCGCCGCGCGTCGCGAAGGCCGAGCGGCTCGGGAAAGGCCACGGCCTCGCCCTGCTCCGCTTCGCCGTTCTCCTCGGCCTCGGTGGAGAACTGACGACATCGGTCAGGGTCGGTTGGTTGGCGTCGGTTTGACCGAAGGGTGTGACACAGTGTGACACGGTGTGTGTGTGTGTGTGCATGTGTGTCTATAGCCGACGGTCTGGAAGGAAGCCGGTGAGGTTGCCAGAATTTCTAGATCTCGATCTTGTGACATGTGTTTTGTAAGTCCCAAAGGAAACAAGTGTGGCCCTTGATCAGTGATTGCGGTGCGAGTCCCAACCAGCCTGATCCAGTTTAATCCATTCTACCTTCTTCTACCTGTTCTTTGGCTGTTCTTTGAGCTTGCACGGACTTCAGGAAGCTCCAACACAACCTTTCAAACCCCACCACCTCCTCCCTACGTGACACCGTGCGGCACCGGTGCCCTGCCGCTCCTGCCGCTCCTGCCCCCTCCGACCGCCTCATCGAGGGTCTCGCCCGGGCGAGACACGCAGGAGGGGCAGAGGAAAACGAGGCTGAACCTCGGTTTTTGCCCCGCGCGAGAGCTCCGCGACGCGGACGCGGACGTGGACGCGCGAGAGCTGTGCGACGCGGACGGCCGTTTCGAGTTCCGTTTCGCCTCTTCGAGGCGCCCGGGGACATGGGGACCTCCGAAAGGTGGCTGACGGTCACCTGGCAGGTTTCCAAGAGAAGACCACACACGTCGAGCCAAAGGGGCCGGTCTAACATTCATCGACACAACGTCTGCGTCTGCGGTTGTGCTATGTAAGGTTGTAGTGAAGCTGCCGTTCTTTTGGGGAGGCTGCCGTGGATTGCCCTTGGAACTTGCACTGTGTGAAATTAAAACATACTTGAAGGAAGAGACGCTCCACACCCCTGTTCCGTTTGGTTGTGTCATGGAGGCAGGTAGTACACCTATGTTCGAACGCGCAAGTCCTCACCAAAATGGATGCAAAAGCTCCTTTCGTCAACAGTATAGTTGTACCATGCTTCACCAACACCCACACGCCAGGTGGGCATGAAGTCGTCACCAAGACCGGAAACCCCCTAGTTTTCTGAGCTCGCCACATGGCAGCGAAGTCTTCCAAGCACATCCAGAAGACACCATCATTTCCTGAGAGTCCCGAAGCGATCACCCGGGTGCCAACGGGGTCTCTTGACCCCTCCTTCGTCTCGGATCAGATCTCCATCTTTGCCGGCATATTGTCATACCCAGACGCTCCATGTATACCATATATGCCTACATTGGGGTGGTTTATATGGCATACATGGAGTGTCTGGGATATACATTCTGGTCCCTTGCTCTTGCAGCTTTGACAATGTGAGCCGCTGTGCACAAGTGGCGATCCGGGACCGGTCGGTCCGACTGGCCCGACCGGCGTCGCGTTCAAACACCGAGAAAGGACTATCCTCCAAAAACGAGAAAAAGAAACAACTTTAAAACAGGTTTTCTTCAAGCCCAATGCAGCTTTTATACGACTGCAGCAAGGTTTAAAAAGAAAACATCAAATCTGCACAATTACACCCTTGCATTGCATCATTAGATATATCACTGCATAGTTCACCGACGTATCTGGCCAAGAGGCGATCTGAATGAAGTTGCTTCTTGAGTTTCGGATTCTCATCCCACCTGCCACCAGCAGGACGCTTCTCGAAGCTTCAGCCATGATCCGGCGATGGAAAGGATGGAAAGCCGCGGAAGCGTGAAGGACGCGTCGCGGACCCGCAGATCCCAGAACTTCCGTTTTGACTCTTCTTTTAAGAGGTTCATATGCTTATTAGGTCAGGTAAGTCAGGTAAGACTTAATATTCCATGTTGATAATTGATTAAGTTGTCTTATCTTCCGTTTTGCAAATATCATACCCTCAAAACCCAAAGACCTATTGAGGATGTACAGTAGGTCTTTCGTTGCTAGGCCAAATCATGTATAGCTGGGCCCAGCTAGGGGGGAAATCCTCAATAGGCCGACCTATATCACTTAAGGTATCCCCCATCACTTTAATGGGGGGATCTGTGCATACCCTGTTCAAGACTTGAATGGACGGTACAATGAAGGTAATGGGCGTTTCCATGAAGTCAATGGGCCAGTCCACGGTTGTCCACAGTTCCTCTTTTGAAGGCTTACTTCAATGGGCCGAGGTCTTCCCGGGTCGAGCCTTCGACGAGCTAGGCCCATGCTAGATAGGCTTATCCAGATGCACAGGGACTTGGTCCACTTGGTGTTCTTTCTTGCCCTTTGCTACACTGTGTTGTTGGTCATGTCCAGATTTAGTGGCTAGGCCAGTCGTCAATCTTCCACCGGTGCAATGGACTCTTCCAACCCCCCCAGCCATGGCATGAGGTTTATTGAGGTTTCATCACCTTCCCCAGAAAAGCCACGTTCGCCCCTGCAGCCCCTGCAGCCCCGTTCGGCTGGCCTGTCACTGGAGTCGCTCCAATCGCCCTGCCACTCTTTGCGGCCCCACGGATTCCGCAGCATCACCTCGCTGGCGTGGGGTGTGGAAAACGACGGCTTCCGAAGCATCGGTTTGGCCGAAAAACGGGTGGCAGGTGTGGCAGGTGTGTAGGGGGAGACCCCGGCCGGAGTGTGTTGCAATAGGGAGACCCCGGCCCAATGGGTTTTGAATGGTTTTGGCCAATTTCCCTTCTTTTTGAGTGAAGGGGGTCGAACTGGGAGGTCTCCCTACTCATCCCTACTCTAATACACACCCATGAAGCCCACAGCGCCTGCTACTTACCATGCCTGGTTGATCCCTATATTAGGAGCATCAAGCGGCACCTAACAACGCCCCAAGTCATACATCTCGAGAAAGGAGACGCCAAGTACGCTTGGCCGGCCCGCTGTTCCGCTGCGCTGCCGGACGTAGGCCATCGCACGTAGGCCATGTGGTCGGTGGTGGTTTCGCTCATTTGAACATGGGTGAACCTTTTCAAGGTGTGAAAAGGTGTGCTCATTTGAATCCCCATTCGATCGTATCGAA